TCTAATATTACCTTCCATCCACTAGCCCTCTGGAAAGTCAACTTGGGATAGACCAAGGCAAAATCTGCTTGGCCCTTGGGTTCTGGCTGACGGAATTTATTTTCTACAGTGACTAAACTATATAAGGAACATTAAAATTTCTTACACCCTCCCCTTAAGATAATAGCACAAGTCACTTAAATGCTGATATTCTTTCCTGCTGTGTGTCCTGTGCTGTTAATATTTGGATCCATCTCAATGTTTCAATCCTTTTGTAACTAAGCCCCCTTGAAATTAAAAGCCCCCAAATATTTTTCTTCCCAATTTCCCAGTTGTTACTTTCTCTTTCTCAGTATAGATTGAGGAACTGCTTTTCAACAGGAAGTGTTGAAAAACAGGAAAGTGGCCTGTTCCCCGTGGGCAGTTAAATATGGAGATATGTACCCACTGTGCCCCTCTTCTCTTATAAAAGCTGTTTATGCCCCCAAAGATGGAGATTGGAGACAGAAAACTCTCTCTACCTTCCTCCAGGGTGGCTTTGAATGAGGCTGTTTTTCTTTCCAGCCTGACTCCCCAGCTTTAGCGGAGTGATGAGCAGCAGAATCTTCACTCCTGGTGACTCTTTCTTCCACATGAATCTGTTTATTTTTTCAAATAAGGGAAGATGGTAAAGAGGCTTTTTCTGAAAGTTTGGGTCTGGAACCTAGAATGTAATCCGCCACTTCAAGGTACTCAGAATTATAGGAAGAATTTCTAAATTCAAAACGATCCTTGCTACATACAATCCCAACCAAAATACATGCATATGCTCATTAAACGACAGGTAGGAGAGTGTTGTGTTCTCAGCGCACCGTTTGGATGGGCAGCAACCTTAGTGTCCATCAATCACAGAGTGGATGAACCAAACGTGGTGTCTTCGGTCAGCGGAGTGCTATGACTGAACTATAAATGCATCATGCAAACACGTGGAAACAGTGTGAAATGTGCCTGAACGGGAGAAGGCGGACGTAAACGTGTATACACTTTAGGACTCCATCCGTGTGAAGTTCAAAATGGTCAAAACCAATCTCTGGTGTTGGAAGTCAGAAGCTGGGATAACTTTGGGTAGGGAGAGGACTAATAGGTGCTTGAGGGGCTTTGGGGTTTCTGGCAATGTCTGGGGTCTTGTTACTGCTGTTTACTGGTGACGAGTCAGAGGCACGCAGAGGCGAGTGGAGAGTGGAGAGTGGAAGCTTTATTAAAGGACAGCAGAAAAGACTTCCTCCCGGAGGAAGAAGGGGACCTGAAAGGTGGAATCCGGGGAAGGCGAGGTCTTCCCTTTTTATAGCTAGGGTCTTCTTTTCTTCCTCCCACACTCCTGTCCTTGGTTCCCTCTGTCCTGCAGTGATAGAATGCAGGTGGGAAGGCCAGGGGTGGGGACAGGTGGGCTGGAGGAGTGATCTGGGCAGGAAGGGCCTGGGGTGGTTTGATCAGCACCCCCGTTTGCGGGGAGCTGCTTCATTAACCAGTTCTTTAGGATGGGTTCCGGGGCTTGGGGACATTGACATTTCAGTTTCCCCAGGTGCGGTTCTGTTTCCTGGACTCCGTTCTCCATAATGGTCTCCATTTTCTTCATCTTACTGGATATTAGACCTGATTGACCTAATTACACTGCTACCTATCTGTAAATCTGGCTTCATTCTGAGCTCTGGATCCCGTGTTGTGTCCGTTTTGTGAATAGGCTTCCTGTTGAATCAAAAGTTTAAAAAATGATCCCAAACATGTGGGAGAGGCCCACAGATTAATTTTATAAAAGGAAGAAATAAGACAAGATAAAATACATCCAGTAATTTAGATTTTTTTTTTTTTTTGGTCATTAACTAGAAGATTGGCCTTCCCTGAATATGCATTGATGTAGTTCACCAACACAGGGAGGTGACTTCACCGGCAGGGATGATGGAGAAGAGTCCACCACCAGGAAAAGGGGACCCAGCCCTGATGGGTTGATAATGGTTTCTGAGAGCTTTGCATTTTTGGAGCCAAATGATCAGAACTTACAAAAGGAACCCAAAGGAAGCAGTTGTACAAACTTCACACTCAGGGAGATTTCAGCTGTAGAAGCCAGAGCGGTGCCTGAGCGTTTGCACGGCAGCAGCGCTGACAGTAAGTTGGACCTGCAGAGAGTCCCACAGTAGCAGCATGGGGACTCCATATTTTTAAATTTTTAAATAAAAAAGTTTACCTTGACACATAAATGGCCCATTTTTATGGGGTGCCATGTGATGGTTCAGTGGTGATCATTTCTGAAGTGACAGTTTTTCATCTTATGGTGTGACCTCACTTGTCTGCCGGCTTCTGCATCTAATGGGCTTTGGAGTAAGTTTGGTGATTTTTTTTTAAATTTTTTTTTTTTGGTACTGGGGATTGATCCCAGAGGCGCTTAACCACTGAGCCACATCCCCAGACCTTTTTCATATTTTATTTAGAGGCAGGGTCTCACTGAGTTGCTTAGGGCCTTGCTAAGTTGCCAAAACTCGGGATCCTCCTGCCTCAGCCTCCCAAGCTACTGGCATTATTGGTGTGCACCATCATGCCTGGCAGGTTTCGTGATTTCTCAAGGCATTAGACAAGGCCTGCTTGGGGTGCTCAAGGAGAGAATAAAATGTGAAATGAATTCTGCCCTCTGCTTGGGAAAAATGCTGTTCTTGTTTGGAGCTGGTTTTCCTGGGTAATTGATTATACATGTCTGGCTGGTTTTCTGTATGTTATGAATATTTCCCCAAACTATTTCTCTTTCTCTTAACTCTGATACCCAAGATCCTAGTTCTTTTAACTTGTCTATGTGCTTTTGACCTCCCTGAATAGACCTGCTCTCTCCAGGGTCTGGGCAGTGTGCTGTGGTAGAGCACAGACCTGGCAGGAGGTCAAGCCAGGCTAGTCAGTCAAACTTGACAAGTGTATCCAGCCAAATGTGGCTTAGTACAGGAAGGCAGTGGCCAAGGTGATGTGGGACTGCAAGACCAGCTACCTTAGACAGCGGCCAGTATAGAGGTCAGTGGTATATTTTCTTTTCTTTTCTTTCTTTCTTTTCTTTTCTTTTCTTTTGTGCAGTGCTGGGGATTGAACCCAGGGCCTTGTGCATGGGAGACAAACAGTCTATCAACTGAGCTATATCCCCAGCCCCATGGTATATTTTCATTGGGCACAAAACAAAGAGTAGAAAACAGAGCAGTAGGTCAGGAGTCAGGAGCAACACATACAGGTAACAATAAATCCAACAAGGCAGGGGTCAGGGCTCAGGCGTCAGCTGGGGGAGGGCAGACAACTCATGTAACTTCTCTCCCTTAGATCTGTAATTCATTTTTTTTTTTTAGTGTGACTATGTATCATTTTTTGTACTAGTCAGCTTTTGCTACACAAGAAAGAAGCACAGACTCTCAATGGCATAAAACAAAAACAACAAAACCCTGTTATTTCTCACTCTGGCCCTGTGGGTTGAATTGAGGCCTGCTCCAGGTGACTCCCTGAGGTCCAGGCTGGGCGATCTGCGATTCCCGGGCGTCTGTCTTCTCACAAAGGAGTTTACAAGCATGAGAGGACCAAGCCAATCTGTGTAAGGACATTGTAAGCCTCTGCTTGTGTCGGGTGTGCTAAGGTCACATGGTCCGAATCAGCTCACGTGTTCAAGGCCCAAGTCCGAGGATGTGAAAATAAATAGCTTCTCCCTGCCCCAACACGACAGGGGTGTGGTATAAGTTCAGTACAGGACAGCGAAGAAGTGGGATTAATATTCAATTTACCATTGGGTTTATTCTTGGTGAGAGATACCTATGTGAATAAGACATTTTTTTTTTTTTTTTTTTGCATTTAAGATTTTCACAGCCTGCAGGGGGTTCGAGAGATTATTGTAAGAGGCAAAGAATCATTCAGCTCTGCCTGGTGCCTGGTTCCTCAGTCCCCCCAACTATGTGGAAAAACTCTCCCGCCTTTACCGCTGAGGGTCTTCTGGAAGTGCAGAGCAGTTGTGCTACACAATAATGGCCCCCCGCCCCCGTCTGTTCAGCAGTTACTATCCAAGGACTTACTACGTACTGGTGATGTCTTGGTGCTCGGATCACATCAGTAAAGCAAACAGAAGTCTTCCTGATCCGTCGTCCTTCCATTCTAGTGGGGAAAGACGGAGAATGGAAAGCAGACTCCACACGAGAAGTAAATGATGAGGTCGATTTAAAGGTGGCAAAGGCTATAGAAAAATAAAAAGTTAAGGCAGAATAAGAGGGTGTGGGGATTCGGGCGGGGGGGGGGTGTTACACTTTCAATGAAGGATAGTTAAGTCTTACTGAGCGAAGGGAAGGAGTCAGCCCGAGGCTAACCAGGACAGGGGAGTTTCAGGTGGACAGAACAGAGTGCCAAGGCATCGGGGGCTTTAAGAGCAGTGAGGTGGCCTGTGGAGTTGGGTCAGGGGAGTGAGGGGGAGAGAGGGGGAAGCGATGTCAGAGGGATGATGTCGTGGAGCTGGACAAGGCCATTATAGGGATGCGGGCTCTTCCTGTGACTCAGGTGGGAGCCCCTGGTGGGTGCGGAGAGAGAAGTGACCTGATCTTATGCTTTTATAGGGTTTGCGTTAGCTGCTCCATCGTAAGTGGACCACAGGGATGTCGTAGACAGGAGCAGTGTCCCCGGTAGGAGACGCTGCTTTTCCATAGAGATGGCCTGGTTCAGGCGAAACCCAGTGTGAGTCCCAGAACCCATCTACATGGTAACGAAAAGTTTCCTGGTAGCTACGTTAGAAAAAGGTGAGAAGATCCGGACGAGGTGGCGCACCCCTGTAATCCCAGCGGCTCGGGAGGCTGAGGCAGGAGGGTGGCAAGTTCAAAGCCAGCCTCAGCAACTTAATGAGACTCTTAGTAACTCGGCGAGACCCTGTCTCTAAATAAAATACAAAATAGGGCTGGGGACGTGGCTCAGTGTGGTTGCGTGCCCCTGAGTTCAATCCTGAGTACCAAAAAAAAAAAAAAAAAAAAGGTGAGACGATCCAGGTGAAATCAATCACATGTTTTTGGATAACCCCGCGTGTCTAAAATCGATCATTTCCACAGATAATCATAATAAATTAATTACCAAGATATTTCAGACTTCCTTTTTCATACTTTACAAACTGGTGTATCTTTTATACTCAGAACTCACCCCCACCAGGACCAGCAACGTTTCCAGAGCTCTGTGTCCCCACATGGCTGCGGTGCTGGCAGCACAGATCTAGGGAGTCATTTAGTCACGTTGAAGTCTCTGGGTCTAGCCTTCTTCCCACCTGCTTCCAAATGGTTTGTTAAATAGCAGTAGATCAGGAGGTACTTGAACAGTGGGAAGTCTAAACTCTTCTCCTCCCAAAAGGAAGGATTTGAAATGGGCGTTATAAAAATTTAGAAATCTCATGCTTTATCACAAATTCTCCCACCTGACAGTAAGATATAGTAACCATCTTTGACCACATAAAACCAACAGCAAACTTCAGCCTGTACTAGTGAGAATTATTACCTACTAAAACATGCTTGTTATTAAATACATTTTTAAAAAAGCTATTCCACAGTATTTAGACAGATACATCCTTTTATTTAGAAAACTGCATCTGGAAATAATCCTCAGCAAGTGGCCTATTAAGGCAAATATGCAATACTAAATGTTCTATTATTAAATTAGACACTTGAATAGGGGAACATTTATTATTCTCTGGGTACAAACATTCGAGATTGAGAATAATTGTTTTTTAATTCAGGAAAAGTACTTACTGATGCTTTTGTATGTGTGTTTCATGAAGTATGCAGAATTGTTAGAATTAGATGATCAAAGTAGACCAGCCTTTGGTCCTCACACATAATCTGTGTTACTCTTTGAATTGTGAGCTTTTTGGGGATATAGCATAAGAGATGAAAAATGCACAGGATTTGAGGTCAGAGACCCACTTCCTTTGCTGTGAAACCATGGAGAAAATGTGTTGAATTTCTCCCAGGCTCATAGTTTTCAGTCCATTACCTGGAGATAAAAGCACTGTTTTCACAGAGACCTTATGAATATTGAACTTGACCTTGAACATCAAGAACGGATCACAACGTCTAACACACAGTGGCAGCAAGAAGAGGTGCCACCCTCATAAGTGAGCGTCCCATTCCTGAGGGGAAATGTAAACACTTTGCTACGGAGTAGATCTGATGTGAGTCTGGGCAGTGTTTGCCCCATGGCCGCTGCCGGAAGGACTCGTGAAACAGATGAAAGGGAACACTCAGACAGCGTTATGGCCAGGTGCATGGGAACACACAGGAGCTGCATCTCTTACCCTCCTTCTTAGGGATAAGGGCTGGAGGCAGACATCTATTAAATAACCTGAGACACCACACCTCTTCCTTTCACGGTTGCCATAGGGAAGTCAGGGGTCCATCTCATGATGGCTTCTTTGCAAGCAATCTGCCTTTGTTTTTCTCTCCGGTTGTTCAGATTTCTCTCTTGGTTGGGTTTCTGGAGTTTCCCAATGATATATCTAGGTTTGGTTTTCTTTTTATTTACTAACTTGGGATACCTTAGACTTCTGAAATCTGTGGTTGGCTATCTTAGCTCAGTTCTGGAAATTTATCATCCTCTATTCCCTTAAATAGTTCCTCTTTCCATGCACCCCCAATGAAAGTTCAAGTTTGTCTGTACTGGCAACTATTTTTAGGGCAAAAGTGACTCTGTCCAGGTGTGTCTCTCTGGGTTTGCAATTTTTTAATATTTATTTATTTATTTTTTTAGTTTTCGGTGGACATAACATCTTTGTTTTATTTGTATATGGTGCTGAGGATCAAACTCAGCGCCCTGCACATGCCAGGCTAGTGCGCCACTGCTTGAGCCACATCCCCTGCCTGAGAGTTTGCAATTTTCATGGGCCTTTAGCTCAGCCATTCCTTTCTACCTGCTGCTCTTTGATGCTGTTAGAAGTTTTCAAATATTTTATCCAGCACTTTTAGCTACATTCTGTAGAATTTGAACAATCTAGCTCACCATTGCCAAACAAATAAAAAATTTAAAATGTTTAAATATACTCCATGTGGAATCAAATTGGGGGCAGATAGCAAAGAGGTAGGAATCTAACTTTCCCTAAATATATGGTCAATTTTATCATTGTATTTGAAGGGTAAATAACTTCTGCATCTATTCAATAACTTCTGCTCTATGCCACATTTTCATATAGCAAGACCCCAGTTATAATTTAAAGCTTTTTTTAAGCTCTTAATGCTGCTTAATTTATTCAATTAAATTAAACCAATTTCATCCTGTTTTAATTACTATACATAATGGAATATATGTATATATTTGTATCTTCCAGGGTGAAATTTTACCCTCATTATTCTTAAGTATAGGACAATACAGTAAATGGTTACTATCTTATTATACTTAACTCTTCAACATTAATCCTACTCATAGATATGTGAAATATGTATGACTTGTTTTGCTAGTTGCTGGAGATACAAAGAAGTATAACATAGCTGGGTATGTGGTACATGCTTATGTGACTTGGAAGGCTGAGACAGGAGGATTGCAAGTTTGAAGCCAGCCTCAACAACTAAGCGAGATCCTGTCTTAAAATTACAGATAAAAAAAGGACTGGGGATGTAGCTCAGTGGTAAAGCACCCCTGGGTTCAGTTCCCAGTGTAACCCTCCTTCAAAAGAAAAAAAAAAAGAAATTTAACATAAAATACTAGCTTTGGTGGATTTTATACTCATAAGCAGAAAAGATATATTGTTAGGAAAATGAAGAAACTACATGAGTTAAATAACAAAGGCAAATTATAGAGGGAAAGATGTGTCATATGGTAATGACCAAGTACTATGAGTTCAAAGCAAAAATGCCTATGAACTGGGATGTTCTGGTTTGGCTTTTTGGATACTAAAGAATTTGACTTTGAATGATAGGTTGATGGAGAGCCTGGAATCGGGGGGACTTATGCAAGGTCATTTATATCCGTGGCTTTGTGAGTAGACCGTGCCATCAGTGGGGGTGGTCTTGAAAAGTGGGAAATGATATTTGAGAGGTAAGTTGGCACTAGATTACCCCAGATCTTTATCATCCAGTGGATTAGTTTTCTATAGCTGCTGTAACAACTTAGTACCTTAAAACAACACGTTTGTTGCCTTACAGTTCTGGGGGTCAGAAGTCCAAAATGGGTCTCCCTGGGCTAGAGCAGGGTGGTGGCAGGCTGTGAGTTTCTGCAGCCGCTGGGGGAGAATCCGCTTTGTGGCCTCTTCAGGTCCTGGAGGCTGCCGGGATGCCCTGGCTCACATGCCCTCCACGGCAAAGCCAGCGTGGGCTCTCACCGTTTTCCCCACGCCATTACCTCGACACCCAGTCCTCTGCTTCCCTCTTGCGTAGACTGTAATGACCCACCCAGATAATCTAGAGCCATTTCCTTACATTTAAGGTCAGCTGATCAGCAGCCTCAATTCCCTTGAAAACGGAAAGCCTCCTTGCCCCGTGTGATGGTCAGTAGTATGTGTCCACTTGGTGGGCTATCGTGTCCAGGTGTTCATGGAAACTCTAAGGGTTGCCACGAAGGTTAACATCCACACCCAACCGACTTTAAGTCAAGGAGTGTATTATCAGTGTATGGGGAAGGCCTCCCCTCATCAGGTGAAAGGCCTGAAGCAATCACTGAGGTTTCCCAGCAGAAGAAGTTCTGCTCAGGACTCGGTGTCCATTCCTGCCCGAGAGTCAAGACTGATGGCCTGCCCACAGGGTGGGACTGGCCAATCCCTCCTGGCTAACGTAAATGGATTCATGCAGAAATCCATGTGGATAGGAAATGCACCTTATTACATTCTATACACACACCATGCACACAGGTACACATAACCTTGGGGGGCATTGTTCTGTCCAGCACAGCTGGCTAAAGAGTTGACTTCTTTGGTTCAAGATGTCATTGACGAGCTGTGAGTGGGCTGTGGCAGGGCTGGGAAGGGTAGTCATGCGCACTCAGTCTTCTGAATTGCACTCTCCTGCTTAGGAACGGGCCTTGGGCCTGGAGCACATCCTTACCAGGAGATCCAGCGTTCTCCCAGCATGTGTGGGGCTTGTCACCTGTGTGGGGCTTGTCACCTGTGTGGGGGTGTACTGCCATTTCAGACTCAGTCGGTGCTCCTGTTCTGCCTCAGTGTGGGTCCATCACGTGGCACCTGTATGGCCCACGGCTCTAGCTGTCCTCTGGAGGAGGGTCCTTCTGCAGCAGCAGGAGACGGGGTGTGCAGGTTAGTGGCCCTGGGTTGGCTGCTGGAAGGTGTCCTGGCCTGTGGGAACGGTGCCCCTCACCAAAGCTCACCTTGCCATCCCTTCTCTCGCTCCATCGTGTTTTCCTCCGTGACCGAGAGCAGCCCGCAGCGGCAGGAGTGCTTGGACTTCTGCTCCCGGTGGTAGGCAACAGATGCCGCTGGAGCGACAGATAGGATGAAAGATTAATTTTACCATGCTGTGTCGGACTCAGTGTGTGCTGAGGGACAGACACATCTAGCTGCAAAGAGATGTGGTTCTGGGTCGGAGCAGGAATGAAAAGTAAAGTGTTTCAAAGGCTCCGGAAATAAGAATGAATAGAGATTGCCCTTAATTTTATATGGAGGGAGCGGGTAGGACAGATAGACGATTTTAAACCCGTAGTCATTTGAAAAATTTCCAGGTTCAGGGGATGGCCACCATGCCATTAATTTAAGCAGGCAAAAATTAATATAAAGGATCTTTAATTAGTAAAAGGCAGTTAGCTGTCAATAGGGGTAAGATGGTGTCTGTCTTGGGAGGCAGAAAACCACAGCTACTGCATCTATGACTGAGGGAAGGTGAGCAGGAAAAGAGCTTTGCAACTTAGAAGGGCCTGTAGGAGACCTCTGTGGAGACGCTATGGGAGCCACAGATGTGCATCCTGCCAGGGGTGGATGGGGCAGGCCGAAGCTGGTACCCAGGAACATGTGTCTCCAAGTGGCAGAGAACGTGCTGCAAGGGCAGCCCAGGCTGGTCTGGCCTGTGCGGACCCGAGGCTACATGCTACAGGACCTCTGCAGGGTGCTTGGGAAGAAAAGAAGAAGGGTCCCTTCTTCCTTGTTTGGCCTTGCAGCCTGGCCCCTGTCCCCCCTGAGAACGAAACGACCATCAGGCTAACTGCCAAAAGGGAAATGACAAGGCCCAGTTCCAGTGTCTGTGAGCTGAGCAAGGAAAAGTGGGCGTCAGCAGAGGAACAATAAATCAACCAGTAGCACAGCTTCTGTTATTCAAAAGTTTGCTAGGAAAATAGCAGTCAGTGGAGATTACAGAAAGGTGACGAGAGGTGACAAGATCACACCAAGATGAAGTCCTTCATTTAACAGGCCTTTGGGGACAGTGAGTAGAAAATAAATCTCCAACTTTCTTTCTTTTTTTTTTTTTAAAGAGAGAGAGAGAATTTTTAAAAATATTTATTTTTTTTTAGTTCTCAGCGGACACAACATCTTTGTTGTATGTGGTGCTGAGGATTGAACCCAGGCCGCACGCATGCCAGGTGAGCGCGCTACCACTTGAGCCACATCCCCAGCCCAAATCTCCAACTTTCCTAAAGGAGAACGGGACCCTGAAGAGGCACGATGACCAGAAGCCCTGCCCCTCGGGCATCACAGGGAAAGCTGGTGACCGCTCACTGGAAAACAGGTCGCATTACTTTTTTACTTATCCTGAGTCGCGGGAAGGAGAAGGACGTGAGTTGATTTCATAGGTGATTGAGAGCGAAGAGGCTGGAATGCTGGTCCCCTCTTCTGGGGCCTGTTGGGATAAAGTCCTCTTACCCGGGTCCACCCTTCAATGTGCTGTTTCTCCACGTGTCCTCTTTGCCGCGTCCCATGTTCCGCTCCCCAGCTGCCCACATCCAAGATCCCTGCTGTTCACTGTTCGCATAGCTTTGGTCAAAACTATGTACTTCTTCGAAACAGGGCTTTGACATAGGTAAAATGAAAAGTCGGAATTAGAGATTTCCAAGATTCCGTGGACTCTGTCAAAACTTTAAAAAAAAATCCATTTTTAAAAATAGTTTCAGATAGACATGTGCAAACATGGGTCTCCCAGGGTGGTGCGTGGAACTGAATTAGTTAACAGGGAGTCAGAATGCGGCATGGTGGACACTCCCAGGTGAGGTCCGTTCCTTGGACTTGCCTGAGGTCGTGTAAGCTGAACTTGGCTCTGCCTGCTGCCTCTCTCCCCACCCTGCAGGCACCTCAGTAGGAAACCCCGATCCCCACTCTAGCTCCTGGTTGGCTCCTAGAGAAGGTGTGCATGTCCTGTCCATCGCCTCCCCCAGTCTCAGCAATTGGCGTCCGCCCTTCACCTCACCATTGAAATCAAACCACAGAGTACGTTGGCTGTCAAATCCAGGGACACTTTTTGTAGTTTTCAATCAGATCGCCCCGCTGCACGGGGCAATCTTCTGACCATTTCTGAGCACCCAGTCCTTAAGTTATCCACAGTGGGGCTTTGGGTGTTCCTGTGGCGTTTCCTTCAATATCTCTTGACTTTCTCGTTGGTCTTCATGAAATTTGGTTTCCTTTTCACGGCACTTAAACACATATTGAAATAATCTCTCTCTAGTCTGTCTTCTTCACTAGGTTGTTGGTGATTTCAAAATAAAGATGGTAGTCTTTACACTATTATGTTCCTAGGGACGGTTTTGCAGCCTTTCTTTCTTTTTCCTTTTTTGGCAGCATGGTCTGTTGGTTTATCCCTGTTACAGTGCTGGGTGGATGCAAGATCAGATACGATCAGATTACCTTCAGCTGTTAGTAAACCCAGTGTCTTGAGTAAGTGAGATATTTATTTTTCCCTTATAACAAAAGTCTGGAACCAGCCTCAAAGGCTCCATCAAGAAATCAGAATCTTTGGGCTGGGCTTGTGGCTCAGAGGTAGAATGCTCGCCTACCATGCGTGAGGCACTGGGTTCAAGCCTTGGCACCACCTAAAAATAAATATATTGGATCCACCTATAGCTAAAAAATAAATATTGAAAAAGAAAACAGAGTCCTTTCTCTGCTCAGAGACACCCTGTGTTTAGCTTTCATTTCGATGGCTGCTGGGTGGTCCCTTTAGGCAGTGTGTCACCAGGAAAGAAGCAGGACAGAGGCCACTGAGAGCCTTCGCCTTCCCATCCTGGAAGCCCTCCCGGGGGTCTCAGCCTGCACGTCTCTGCTGAGCTGTTTTATTTTGCCATCTCAAGCTACAAGGAAGGAGGGGGCCCAAACATTTCAGCGGAGCAGGTTGCTACACTAGGTGACTCTGGCGTCCACGAGAATACAGATGCGGGGGCTGGACGGGGGTCGCGTGGTCAGCAGCTTCCCTTTCCACGATTTCTCACTGGAGACCCCAAGCTTGGGTCACTCCCATATCACTCCATGATGACCGTCACCTGGGTAACCACCGTTTATCTTGTTCCCTCCGTTTTAGATCCGCGCCCTGGCGGCCTCTCCAGGAGCACGTTGAGGATGGGCGTGTGGAGCCAGCCACTGACGGAGGAGATGTCCAGGCGCGGCTGATCTCACCCACATCGAGTGGTTTCACACATTTCAATTCCGGAGTGGATTTTTCTATGTCCCCAGAACATACAGGGAGCACGTCTCATGGGAGACTGGCTTTTACTTCTCCCAAAGCAGCATTTCTCTTTGTCTCTCTCCCAGCCCCTTAACCAACTGCCACCACCTTCTGGTTGAGAGTATGAAGCCGCCAGGACCCTATTCCTGAAACTCCACTAGTTTAGCTTGTGTATACTTGTAGAGTGCAAGTGAATTTTATTAAATTAAAAAACTTATCATATGCATATCACATAGAATAATTTACTTTGGGATATAATTCATCTACTTCGTTAACATTTTTTTTTTTTTGTGCCAGGGATTGAACCTAGGGGTGCTTACCCACTGAGCTACATCCCCAGCATTTTTTATTTTTTATGTAGAGACAGGGTCTCACTGAGTTGCTAACGGCCTTGCTCAATTGCTGACGCTGGCTTTGAGCTTGCAATCCTCCTGTCTCGGTCGCCCATGTTGCTGGGACGACAGGTCTGCGCCACCACACCCAGCCAACATGCTCTTTGGAGTTGCTGTTTCCTCTACATTAAGCAGAACTCTGTTAATTACTCTCTGGATGAAGGCTGTTTCCCCCAGGGAAGAGAGGGTGGTGGGCAGATGCTGGAGGGAGAAATACAGCCTCTCAGGAAGGATGAAACAGACACCCAAATGTAGAGTGGACTGCCATAATCAGAAAGCTCACGAACGACTTGGTCAATTTTCATTTTGTCAACTGAAGAAGCAACAGATCCACCAGATGGGGCTCTAATATTTTTTTGGTTCAGCAACTGAAAATCCAAGTATTTAGTGGTATTTTTAGAGAAAAAAATACGTCTTCTATATTAACCTCCAGGAGAATTTGCCTGAGATGGGATTATGACTCTAATAAGCATCATCATGGCTTGATATCTTTTAATTCTCATGAGTGACTTATAAAGAAAGTGGTCAATTTGCTGAAAAATGAGGCACCCAAAATAGTTGAATTAAATCAGTTCAAGTCGTTCTGAGTTAAATCCTTCTGGAGCCTTCTTGGAGGAAAGAAACATTTATACATAAATAGGTGCATTATTAGTACAGTGCATCAGCCTTTTAGCTTGGTGGAGGTTCTCTTTGGCGGAGGACAATTCTTTTTTTTCCTTAATTGATTAATTTCTTAAATTGACAAATGCGATTTGTATGTACCTGTTGTGTACAACATGACTTTTTGAAATGTGTATTCATTATAGAAAGGCTCACGCATCCCAGAGCTTACCGACAGCTTAAAATGTGAATTATTTAAAATTATATTAAGTTGTTGTGAAATTCATCACAGCTGCAATATACTCAGTCCAATTTAGTTATTTTGATAGGTCACACTTTAAATATTGTAAAATCAAGATTCTTCAGGGCTGGTATATGATTTTGGCAAGGGACACATTGTGCTTCTCTTTTTCTGAGGTTTAGATTTGGAAACCGGAGCCTCGCCTTGGACTCCTTTCTCCATGACTCATAACTTTTGTTCAACCTGGAAGGAATGCCAGCTTGGGAAGATGGCAGAGCTTTGCTTCAGGGGGAAGGTGGGTCTAAGTCACAGACGTGAGATTGAGCTGGACCTTCAGAGTGTACTGGGTACACATCCATAATGGTGGCCACAGGCGGGTCTTCAGCCCTGGGGAGCTGGAGTCTTGGGAAACGCAGGTATCCTTACTAGAAGTGGGAGAGAGGGGCAGGTAGCATGGGGTCTGTCTAAGGATGGAGACTTCCTCAGGAAGCCTTGTGAAGGTAAAAGAAGGTAAAATCACTCCCCAGGTAACCACCCTTATACCCTCTGCTTCCAGGAATTCATGGATGTGAGATCACGTGGTACCTGTCTTTCAGTGCCTGAATTATTTCACTAGGGTTATGTCCTTCAGGCTCATTCGCAGGGTTGCAAGTGAGAGGATTTCTGTCCTTTTTATGGCGGAATAATATTCCACTGGGCATATTTACTGCGTTCATCTGCTGTCGGACACCCGGGCCAATTCTGCATCTTGGCTGTTGTGTTTCAGTGAACGCGGGAGTGCAGATGTCTCCATGACGTACCGTTGGACGTGTACCCAGGAGTGTCATTGCTGAATCATATGCCAGTTCTGTTTCTTTTTTTTTTTTTTTATTCAGTAAATTGTTAAAGTTTAATTTACTCTTGAAACAAACAACATTCTTTTAAGAAGCTGTTTTCTTGCTTTTGCACAAGGTCAATTTAAAGTCAATCCAGGCAAACAAGATCAGAAAAAGCAGCATACTCCTCTAATCCATTTAGCAAATGTTGCAAATTAGTTTCTACTTGAATAATCAAACAGAGAAATGTCTGAAACTCTACAGTTGGTGTCAGTTTTAACATGTTGATGTCAGCCATGACAGGTAGAAGTAGCCAAGTCCCATATACATGAAGAAGCAGAAATAATTGTGAAGACTTAGCAGCTCTTCTAAAGATTAAAGACAAATTATGTTTATGAGCCATTTTGCTGTGTGGCATTCTTCTGAGTTTTATGTCTCAAACACAAAGGAGCTTGTTGCTGTCTTGGGCAAACATACTGAAATTACCTTTCTTTCTTTCTTTTTTAGCTTACTTTCTTGTCTCTAAGGCCAAGTAAAAAATGTGAAACATTTTCATATACCACAAAGGTAATACAGCAGGCTGGAGTCACTCTAATCAAATTGGGGGCAATTCCTTTGTAAAATCCACCGATGCCTTCTTTCCT